GTGGACCCCACATCTTATACAAATAACAATGGTAAAGGATATTTAAAAGGACCGACAACGTATATGGTAACAGATGATTTGGTCGTGACGCCGTCGTCCTCCATTTCTGTAATGTCTTTGGTGAGCAGTATGAGCATTCCCGTTGATGACTTGCAAGAGAAAGTGGTTAGCATTGGCACGGAGGAGGTAAGACCACTAAACTGAAAATTCATAGTGTTATTTCTACGTAAAATGCTTTTCATCTTTTCCATAGAAAGAGTAAAGATTGATCTGTTAAATGAATTTAAAAATATGGTAATGTATTTGTGAATGTACTTCTCAATTTTCGGCTTGTGTTAACTTTTGGCAGGCAGTGACAGTAAGTTTATGGTGTTGTTGCAGGGTGTGCGCATATTACAAGCGTCATTGAGCTCTACATCAGCCCTAACATTAGGTCTCAGCCACTTAACAAAAGTGAAAGAGGACAACTGAGTTATATTTACTTCTAGTCCTTCTATTTATTGTCTTTTTCTTCATTTTCGTTAATTCTATATCTGCATTTTAAAATGTTCTGTTGTCGTACAAAGATTTTGCAGTTTTGCAGCAATTTCCCTGCTTTATTCTTTCATCTTTTTATTTTTTAATCTTTCCCGCCATCGGAGAAACTAGAAATTTGAAATTACGTTTCGTTGCGCTACAACTACATTTTAAAAGACCGATTGAGCCAAGTAAAAATGATTTTATTTTATGCGTAGCCTAAACCGTTAAATATAAAAGGGTTAGACTTACATTTTCAAATATATTACGTACATTTTTTTACATGAAAATCCAACGTAAGTAAAGACGTAGTAACCACTTTTTCATTTTAGTTCACTTAAACCAAAATCTAGCTTAGTTATTCATACTTTTAAAATTTAGTTTAGTTTATTTGTGATAAAACTCTCGTTAAACTTAGATGCATAATTGAAAAATAAAAAATAAAAAGCTTATTTGCATAGTAGAAATTTATTCAGAAATACACCTATCAATATAAAATTCTTTTATGGACTATATTAAATATTTACTATTAAAATTTTAAATGAATTGACTCACATAATATAATATCCAAATATACTCTTAATCACTAGGAGAGAGATGTCTTTTCTATAATTGAAAGTATTTTCTTAAAATCGTGAAATATATAATATAATAAAAAATTGTTAATATAATTAAAAACTGTTGTTAATAATCTAATCACTGATACAAAAGTACTTGTTAAAAATATTTTCTTAACGATAACGAAGAAGAGTGAATTGGTTCTATATTAAAAATTATTTTTTTTGAAATCTATGAAAAATTTTTAACTTTTTTTTGAAACACAAGCAAATAAAGATTGTAATGCAATAAAAAAGATAAAGAATAGAAAGACAAACACCAAAATTTTTATACTAGTTCGACCTTAATGCCAACATATAGCTTTCTTTCAATCGACTTAAGGGGATACTGTAGTTACTAAGAGATACATCAAGAAAAGTACTTAAAAGGTTTGACATGCAAGATTGTAAATTAAGGAATACTCTAGTTACTAAGGGAGACAAGTTTAGACACAACCAATACCCAAATGGATATTCAGAAACTCAAGAAATATAGAAGATTTCATATGCTTCAACTATAAGGAGTTTGGTGTATGCCTAAGCATGTATGTGTCCACATATAGCATACATAGTTGGCATATTAGGCAGATATTTAAACAATCCAAGAATGGATCACTGGAAAGAAACTAAAAAAATTATGAAGTATTTCAAGAGAACAAATAATTATATACTCACATATAAAATATCAGTTGCCGAATGCCAAGTGTACCACCATTTCAGATGCTACTAAAAACATACAAACTTTTCGTTAATATTCTAAATGTATGTACCTTGCATCTAAAAATAAAATTTAAACATTCATTTATTTAATGAAATAAATGTCCCGTTCAATAACATATATTTCAAATAATAAGAAAACATTTAAAACTATTCAACAATTAAAAATAATTAAAAATTATTCAAAATACATCCAAAATAAAATAAAATGCATTCCTATATCAATCTCCAAACTCTTAATTGTTTTACATCTCACTTAGTCATATCATTATCACAAGGTGACATGTTATGTACTTCTTTTATTTGAAAACTTGAGCAAAACCATGTCCTCAATAAAGTAGTAACAATTTGTACACACAAATTCTATATTATAGAACCATCTTCGTCTCCAGTAAGGATTAATATAGAGAGTTGCTACAATTACCAGGACTGTCGATGTGCATGACACACCAAAACTTATCCAAAAAACAAATATGTCAATGAAACTGCAATTGTCGCTATTAGTGTGAGAATTATTTGGTGAAATAGCATGTGGTTGTATATAAGGATTGCAACTTCTTGGCAGTGGCGGTCCACAAAGAAAAGCATTACCTTCATAACTGCTTTCATCAAACGTAATAAACTGACCTTTCCGCTCTGGTGTTTCACCAGTTAAGTTGTTATGTGCTACACTAAATACGGCAATAAAAGACAATCTACTTATTTGAGGAGGAATTTTACCACTCAATTTGTTAAAAGAAAGATCCAAACTCTCTTTTTGTACCAAATTGGAAAATGAAGCTGGAATTTGTCCAATTAAATCATTGTAGGACAAGTTCAATGCTTTTATTCTTGTCAAGTTTCCAAATTCAGATGGAATATTCCCAGTTAATTTGTTATTGGATAAATCAATGCCAGACATATAACCAAGGATATCCCCTTTGTAAGTGTAGGATGTTTTCTTTGTAGTAAAGTTCACCTTTTGTTTCACATTTGGATATGCAACCGTCCTAGAATAAATATCACCATTAAGATTTAATTCTTGAAAGTTCTCGTCCACAAAAGGCATTTTACCCAAGCAACTGGGTAACAAACCAGAAAGATTATTAGATGAAAGGTCTAGTATAAATAGTTCTTTCAATTGGCATACATGTTGTGGTATATGACCTGAAAAGTTATTCCCTTTCAATATGAGAATGTTCAATGATGAATTTTCAAGATCCAATATCATGTCTTGAATTTTACTGGTTATTCTATTGTAACTTAGGTCAAGAATCATCAATGAAGATCTGCTGAATGTCGATTTGGACAAGCCAGTAAACCTATTATTGCTCATGTGGTCGAATTTCACGAAAGAATTAGCAAAAGACGGTAAAAAACCAGAGAAATTATTTCCTGAGATGTCTAGATATTCCAGAGCGTTCAGTCCCACAAATCTTGTTGAAATAGATCCTCCCAGATTATTGTTTGACAATGAAAGCACTCTCAACTTCGAAAAGTTTCCCATCACACTTGGTAAATTTCCCACTAAATGATTATTGCTTAGATCCAAACTATCTATACTTCCAGAAAGACTATTTCCGTCCAAATACAACTCTTCCAAATACTTCAAAGTCGATAAAGTAGAAAACACTGGTCCATGTAGCTTATTATTTGAAAGTCTCAAAATTTGGAGCGTGTCGCCAGATATGTTATTCGGTATTTCTCCTGAAAAATTGTTGTCAGAAAGATCCAATGTATACAAAAAGTGCATTTGGCTGAATTCACGAGGAATTGAACCTTGGATGTCATTTATAGACATGTTCAGAAATATCAAATTTGGAAAGATTGAACTGATGTTGCTGCCAAGTATTTGACCAGTTATGAAATTATCAGACACATCAATCCTCCTTATCTTTAGAAGAGGACGTGATGGTAGCTCAAAATTACCACTAAAAGAGCAATTTCTGACTCTAATGACTTCCAATTGTGTGTTATTTTTCAACAGCCAGTTAGGGAATTCTCCATCCAACTTGCAACTGGTAAAATCCAGACTAGTTATGTTATATTGGTAAAGAAGAAACTTGGGGAAAGGAATAGAATTTGTGTCTGTTGTTGATGACAAACTAAGTACTTGTAATTGAAATTTCGGAATCCAATTTTGCAAAGGGGACAATGAGTCCATGATGACTTTGTTGCCATCACCATAAATGAACTTAAGATTTGAATGATTGGCAAATGGTGTAAAAGAAATAGGTACCTCAAATTGGTTTTCTTCGAAACCAAAATATTCAAGTGAAGTAAGACTTGCAAGGTTAGAAGCAAAATTTCCAATGAAGTAATTATCAGATAATTCCAGCGTTCGAAGAGATGTCATGTTTACAAAAGACGACGGAAGTAATCCTTCGAAGTGATTAAGGGATAGATCTAACTCTTCCAGCTTATTCAGCTTAAACCAATCTGAAAATTCAAATTTTGAGAATAAAATTCATTATTTAGGGACACAATGAAAATATATAAATATTTTAACAAAGTGAGAAAAAAAAAGTTGTATTAAGTAACTTAAAAGGTGATTTAATAAGAACGTTACCAACTGCAGGAAGTGTGCCATTTATGTAACATTCGAAAAGTGACAAAACTTTCAAAGAAGTCAAATCTCCAATACTTTGAAAAAAATCATTTTCCAGATTAGAACTTCCATCTAGTATCAAACTTTCTAGGTTTTTTAAATCATGAAAATCTGCAGAAAACAGAAAATGAAAAGCTTAATGTAACAGAAAGGAAATTAATTTACCAAGAAAAGTTAAGAAGTATTAGGTAGTACCTCGAGCCACAACTGCTCCTTTAAATTTATTCCTACGCATAGAAAGCATCTTGATTGACGATAAAGTTCGTAGGGACTCCCTTAGTTTCTTCCCATCTATCACATTATCATCTAAAGTAAGGACCTCCAATGTGCTTGTACTTTGTAAGCCTGCAAGATGTAATGTAAATTAACTAAAAGTATGCAAATATATATGAACTTTGGCTAAGTAATCACATTTAGTAGCTTCAAAATGCAATGATTTTATCCTAAACATGTCTCTTTCATAGGTAAACCATTAATTAAACTTAATGTTCTTAAATACCTTCGTAGACCACAAAATTGTTGATTTGATTTAACCTTAGATCGAGATTCTTCAGACTGGTGAAAGTGGATAATCCTGCAAGAGATACATGTCAAAGTATAACAGTAATGGTACATGTCAGTAAATATTTCTATAAACCTTCTCAATTGCTGATATTCAATTTTAGTTCTTTTATCTAAGTTAGTCTAATCTAGCTTAATTTTTATAAATTTGTAAATGATTCTTAAAATATATTCATATTTATTATTTTGAGACATGTGTAATATAAAATTGTAAATGATTATTTCTTAGGTTATAACCGTATTAATTTTTACACATTGACTATAAAATTCCATAAAATTATATTTTAGAAGTGGTGGCAGTCTAAAATAGTGAGACTCTGTTGTTTTAATATTAAATGGTTCATTTATAAATAGTTTTGTTATAAACGAGTTTCATTATTTTAAAACGTATCATCTCTCTATAAACAACTTTTCTAGAGTTTTTTACCTTCTCCCTAAGAGTTCTAACTCCTAAGTAATGTCTTTGACTATCAAGAGGTACATAATTGATCACAGCAACGAGGTCTACATTTCTACTCGATCATTTTCTTCAATAGAGCAAGTAAGTTTCGGCTTATTTTTATTTTTTCGTTCTTAATTTAGATCATGCTTAATGATCTCTTGTTGCATGTGAGTTGTAATGTCATTTCATAGTTTCTTGTTGATCAGAGGTCCTAAGGACTCTCTCTAATCTTTGTTCGGTGTTTTGTAAGTGTTTCTAGAGTTCCTTGAGCTGTAAGCAAGGGGTTTGGTGTTTATAGAGTTCAGTTGCTTTAGTGTAAGGTAAGGGAAGCTAGATGTTTTAACATTAACTATAATTGTCTTGCAAGTTTAGTGGTTGTTTGTTTATTAACTTGATTGAGTATTAATTTGAGTAATTGTGATATGTTAGTTCAATTAGATGTGTATATTATTGTATTGTATGATCTATGTTTGATATGATGAAGTTGGATTTCTTTATCGTCTTGAATGATGTAATATGAAGTTGCTTCGATGTTGGAAATTTAATTCAAAGTGTTTGGAGGGAAGAAGGATCAAATACTTGGGTGGTGAAGTTAAAAAGGGAGGTTTTTATAGGTGAGTTTGAGACATAGGTGTTAGGATGAAGAAGCAACTGTTTCAGGGCTGTTTGAATTAGAATTAGCTGATATGTGTGGTAGAATGGAGTAGTAGTCATTTTGGAGTATTTACAAAGTTTTTAAAGTGTAAATCAATTCCTAACATTGATTTATGAAAATCCAAATAGTTCAAAGGGAATTGAGTGATAAATGAATCGGGTACTCATTGAACACTTGTTAAGCTATTGTACATGCTCACTGAGTGAGAGAGGATAAAATCTTTATAATAATATCTATTTTTGTGAGATGAAAATACATGACATGTACGGTCTAATAAAGCCTAAGATTTTGCAAAAAGGTCTACTAAGTGTATGTTTGGTGTAGTAGAGCTCAAGTTTTTGTCAAAAATCTACTGAGTGTGCTTAGTATGGTAGAGCCTAGGATTTTGTCAAGAATATTAAGTGTGTTTGATCTAGTAAAGTCTGTGATTTCTCCACTATGTGTGTGTTTGGTCTAGTAGGGTCTAGGGTTATGCAAAAAATCTACCATGGAATGATATTTGATATGTATATGTAATTAATATGAATGTAGTTATTTCCGAGAAGAAAATACTACATTAAGTGGTTTTAGGATATTTATTTAATAAGGATTTTGAGAATGAGATTCTTTGGACTATACTAATATTATATTTACATAAAGAAAGATATTATGCTATGAGAGTTGACTGGGCTTCCTATAGACTTAGATGTTTGAGTATGATATTTGTGATGTATGTTGTTTACACACATAAAAAATATTTTAAAAAACTCACTATCGTATCCTGTTTTGTAAATTATCATTTATGTGAGTTATGATCTTGTGTTATATGGAATATATAATAATACAAGTGAGGATGCACAAGAGTGATATGGGTTGAGGATGAATGAAATTAACGTAGATATTGTTGGGTACAAACAAAGTCCCACATCGAATAAAATAAGAGATGGACATGAGTTTATATACACATAAGATACCTCCATTGAAAGAGGCCTTTTGGAGTGGTACCAAAAGCAAATCCGTGAGGGCTTGGCCCAAAGCGGACAATATCTTACCATTGTGGAGATCTATGTGTGTGTTGTCCCTCCCTACAAATGGTATCAGAGCCAAGTTCAAGTCTGGTGACCGGGCTTAGTCGAGTACGTCCCTCCATGATAAAGTGAAAGTGAAGCTTGACAGGTGGCCAGATGTATCATGAGAGGTGGAGAGCATGGGATTCTCAGTGTTGTGACCATGGATCGTGAAATAGGGCAAGGAGATGCTCAGTGTTGACCATGGTGTACTCTGGCCAGATGTATCATGAGAGGTGGAGAGCAAGGGATGCTCAGTGTTGTGACCATGGATCATGAAATAGGGCAAGGAAATGCTCCGTGTTGACCATGGTGTACTCAAGGATGAGAAAAAAGACTTTCGCTGTAGGAGAGGTGGAGAGCCATACTTCTTATGAGTGTGCCATAATTGACGTGAAAAACCAATTATGATAATTGGTGCCTACAGATGAAGGCGTTATTGAGATCCCAAGATGTTTGGGATATGGTGGAAGACGGGTACGTTGAACCTGATGAGTCGAGATTCAAAAAAATAACGAATGCCAAATCAACAAAGGAAGCGTGGGAGATATTGGAGGTTGCGTATAAAGGTGATAAACATGTTAGACAAGTCCGAATACAAGGTTTCAGAGGAGAGTTTGAACAGTTGAAGATGGAGTCAAAAGAGCATATAACCGAGTACATAACTCGGGTGGAGAAGGTGGCCAACCAATTCGAAAGGAGTGAAGAACAAATGCCATCAAGTCGGGTTGTG